ATGTTACGGACGTGAGTAACACTACCACCGTAATGCTCTACGATCCTATTAGACCGGGATCTACGGTTTAAAGTGGATTCTGAACTACTACAAACATCCATGGTCCATATATATAATATATACAGTAGATAAAAAAAGTATTGGCAATTGCCTATAAATGATCATATTTGCCAACAAAGTATGTTTACAAATTTTATTTTAACATAGCGATTACAGAAGGAGAAAAGACAAACAAATATAACGAAATTTTCATTTAAATATTTTTTTAGTCAAAATCTACGAGAAAATCCAAAATTTACATCATAAAAAAAGTATTGGCAAAATTATGAAATTGACAAAATTATGAGCGGAAACAAAATCAGTATATGTTTAGTACTTTGTATGCATACCTTCTGCATCTATAACAGCTTGTAATCTATTTCTCATAGAGGAAACTAAGGTTGTTGTACTGTTGGGAATTTTGTGCCACTCTTGCAAGAGTAAACGTTTGAGGTCGTCTTTACTTGAAATTTTATGTTTCTTGATTTCTAGATCCAGCAGGTGCCATAAATTTTCAATTGGATTGATGTCAGGCGATTGAGGTGGGGTTTTTAATTGGCGAGGAGCATTGTAGAGTAGCCATTCACAGGTGAGATTCGCTGTATGTTTGGGGTAATTGTCTTGTTGAAAAACGAATGATGTTCCCAAGCCAAGATTTTGGGCACTGATTTTTAAGTTATGGCGCAAAATGTCAATGTATGTACGTGCTGTCATAATACCATCAATAAAATGCAGGTTGCCAATTCCATTAGCTGCCATACAGCCCTAAACTAAGACGCTGCCTCCACCATGTTTTACAGTAGCAGTTAAATGTTGCTTTTCAATTCAGTATTTGGCCTCCTCCATACATATCGTCGTCCATCACTGCCGAAAATGTTAAACTTTGATTCGCCGGAAAAAATAATTGTGTTCCAAAACTCTTCAGATAAATCAACGTGGGATTTTGCGAAATCTAACCTCTTTCTCTTATTTATTTCCGAGATGAATGGTTTCTTTCTAGCTGCCCTTCCATAATAACTTCTCTCGTGTAAAACATTCCGTACAGTCTTTACGCTGAAAGTCTTTTGCGAAGTGAAAGCAACATCTCTAGCTTAAAATTTCTGAGCCTAATAATCGTGTTTTTAACACTAACGTCCAACTCCTTCGATTTCGAAGTCATTTTACTGCAGTAATCGCAAAATAACGCATAGACATATTTGGAGTAGTTTTGCAGACTTTATACCGGTAGAGTTTCTTATCAGTCGAAACACGTGAGTTCAATGTAACAAAATTTGCATAGCAGTTAAAACTTTTCCAATACTTTTTGACATGCAAATTTTCGTTTTTGAAAGAAAAAATCGTAGAAAATGCAAATTAAAATAAAATTTTTACTATTTTTATATATCTATGATGTCTTGTATTTAATTGTGACAGCTAAAATTGCATAACATTTTATTTATTTGTCAATATGAATAAATTAAGGCAATTGCTAATACTTTTTTTTTCCCACTGTATATATATATATATATATATATATATATATATATATATATATATATATATATATATATATAGAGAGAGAGAGAGAGAGAGAGAGAGAGAGAGATTTAAAAATTGTTAAGAATTAGTGATTAAAATGGTAACCATAACTGCGAAGTATCATTGAATAGTGGTCATTGTGAATCGAGAAAAATGCAAAATTAATTAATTGAAGAACTAGATTAATAATGCATTAAAATCAGGTTAATGAGAAATCTTACATTTGTGGCAATGATATGATTTGCTCGATAAATGTTTCAGATAACTTTGCTCAATTGTTAAGCTACTTTATCTCATTGTTGAAATTATTTAATTTATTCATTGAAAAGATGTAAGACACATCGGATGTAATGATCTAGCTCCTAAAGAAACACATTTTTCTGACTGCTTTGAAAATATTTCCAAACTAGAAAATATGAGAATTGAAAAAAAAAAATAATAATATATAAACCAGTTTTTGATCTTGAAAGGAATAATATTTTGTATTCTTCATTGACTGGTACCATGTTATGTGATTCACTCGACCAAAAAGCACGAAAAACGTTTCTAACGAGAGGAAAGCAAATAGAATAAAAATCGAGATCAAAACCAAAACTATTCCTCAAGTTGTTGTACTGGCAAATTTCGAAACACTATTTTTCTTCCAGAAATATTTCGATATTTTCAACCAAACAGATGACTGTTTTCTGAAGTAAAAAAAGAAAAAATTATTAAAAAATCGTGTAAAGGTTCCTTATACAAAATGGTAGTTTATTTAATGGTAGTAGTTAATCAGCAATGATTTTTTTATTTAAATTTCGTATTTCAAATTAATCAGTAATATTTGAAATGCCTTAGATAATTAAAAAAAAAATTTTTTTCTTTTTTTTTTTTTTTTTTATAAATCAAAATTAATTTTGTTAACAGATTATTTTCTAGAAAATAAATATGAAGGAAATGAATAATTTTTATCTCTTTTTCTTTCTTTAAAAAAATCTTGCCATCCTTAGAAAAATAAATATCATAATGTAGAGAAAAACAAGAAATATGACCAGATTGTTATAATTGGGAATGATGAAATCGCCAGAATTATTACTAGATTCCAAAATTCAAAGTGGAATGGAAAAAATAAGATATTATAATTCTACGCATTAGACTTGTGCAAATATTAACAGAATTGTTAATTTTTTTAGTTGATGAGAAATAGCGGCCCACTCCAGTTGATGAAATGAAGCATTAAAGGCTACTTTTTTAGTGGTACTGGACCTCGATGCTAAATGGCTTTAAGAGTATCGCGAATTTTAACGTCAGTTTATGCACATCTTCGGATAGCAAAGGTTTATTATTAGTATATTTATATTAGGTTAAAGGTTCAGTAGCAGTGATTTCAACGCCTATTAAAAAATTCAACTCTAAATCTAAAATCGCATTAAACTTAACTCCACTAAATTCAGCTCTCGTATTCGCGGCTACATTCTTTTTTAACTCCATATCAATTCACTATATTTAAACTTAACACATTCTTTTTAAACTTTACTTATTTTGAAAATTCTTATCGTTATACATAATAAAATCATAGATACATGTTACAGTTAATAATTTGAGAATGAGATTATGAAAAAAAAAATTGTTGTGATAAAAGGTATGATGGTGGCAATGATATTATATAATATATATAAGTTATGATATTATATAATGCAAACATTTTATTCTTAATTCTAATTCATCCATATTATTAAATGATTTGCCAATAAAACTTGTTAAAGCAAAGTATGTTAATTAAAATCGAGCAATGATGGATATTTCTCTGATTGTAAAACATTAAGAAACAATTCTGAAACAGTGTTATTCTTAACAGTGTTATTTTACTGGTGGATCAATCGATAGATTTCTATGCATATAAAGTAATTTTTGTGTTCTTTTCAGAAATGCATTTAAAAAAGTTATTAATATTTAAGTATGAAAAAGTTCACATTTTGCTTTATCATTTTTTTAAGAAATTTCTATTATTTTTTATTAATGAACTCTATTTAAATGTTTCCAAATTGTTTATTAAAATAAACATTGTAGTAATCTGTCCTATGCCATTTTTGCGCCGTACCCAATTTCCTCCTCTTCTCAGTATTCAATTTGACAAAGATCTCAGACTTCTATTTCAAGTCAACCGACAGGTGCTTCCATCTGGGGATACTATTTAAAGGTAATGAAATCCTATATACATATATAGTTCTTACAAAAAAAAAAAAAATCACAATTTAATTTTTTTAATAAACACTTTTTATAAAAGTAAGAACGAATAGTACATATAAATCTTAATATATGTATTACTAAGCTAAATTTCAAGTCTATTTTACGTTAAATTTTAAGTTAAAAACTACTACAAGTTTAGATATTTAATAAAAATTTAACTTAATGGAGTACTTCAAAGATCCATCTTTTGCTGTAAGTTTAATAGCAGGGCAGGAAACCTAAAGTTCAATTACTAGAAGATTAGTAGTTTTTAATATGTTTTTTTTCTTTATAATAAATTTGTAGTATACTTCAAAAGATCCACCTTTTGCGATTTTTAAATCAAAACAACGACGATGACGGACAAAAATATGACAAAGATTTAAAAATAGCTGTCTGGTATAAGAACTTGCTACATTCATCCTATTTTTTGTTGTTCTAATGCAGCTGGCAATACAGAGACAGTAAATCTTTCTGCATAAGAAGTACTGCACCGCTGTTACACATTTAGCGCAATCCAGGGGACACGTGCAGCTTGAAGATATGCTACGAACGCGATTAACACTAGCCGCGTTCCTCCTATTTAATAGTAGGCAAAATATGTCAAAATATTTTTACTTTACCTTTCACAAACATCTTGTTTCTCAAATTATATTTTTTAAAAACTTCCTAAAAACCTTATGATGCTTAAAAATAATGAAAATGTACTGAAATTAATAATTAGCGAGAGTAACATTGACAAAAAATAATAATTAAATAATAAAATAGTGAAATTAAATTCAGAGAATTACGTTGCAATAATAATAAATAATATGCAAATAGTGTGAAAAAATATTCTGGCTCAATAAACAATAATTGACTTTTTTTCATATATTGATATTTTCAAATTTAGAAAGAAAATGTTAAAAAATTTAAAAGAAAATATTTTTTGAAATACAACTTATACCTAAACTATAACGAAATAATTCCATAATTTAAAGATTATGATTAAAATCGGAACACTTAAAAGTACTTTAATTTAATTTAAGTACTGTAAAAATAATTAGAATAATGAAACTAATCACGCTATTATATTTCTAATAAAAATAATCAATCCATGTAATATAACTATAATGTTCTAAAAATTTGTTTTTAAATCACATTTTATTTATGTAAGAGCATTAAAAATCCTTTTTAAAAATGACTAAAATCGAAATTGGTTGATGGATGACATGGAATGAGAGAAAAAATTTTTATATCAGAAGTGGGGTTCGAACCCACACTCTCTTTCGAGAACCAGAACTTCAAAATCTGGCGCCTCTTAGACCGCTCGGCCATTCTGACCGCTTCAAACTTCTATGAAAAAAAAATTTATCACCTGTCACAAAACTAATGAATGCAAAAAGCATTGAATATTAATGTTATGAAAAGAATGAAAAAGTAATGTCTCAGTTTTCATGTACAAATTCTAGAATTTCTATCAAAATTTGAAAAGCTTATTTTTTATTTGGAACATTAAAATATTGGTAAAATTGGATTAAACGCTTTTCTCCAAGAAAGTGGTATATGACCCCGGAGTGGGTCCACAGGTGTTATTTCCCATTAGAAATCTTTTGTGGTAGGAAGAGGACCATTTTCAATCGACGTGAAATTAGGGATGATTGATGAGTTGTAAAATTTTTTGAGGAATAAAATTTAAAAAATAATTAAATTATTTTCGAGGGAAATTTCTGACACAGTTCATTGATTAAGTGGTACAAAATTCATTATATATAAAAGACACATTTTCTAATATAAAATAAATAATTTTATTTTCTGTAGTTTTTTTATTTTCTAAAATACTTTTATTTTCTGTAATTATTTTATTTTCTAAAATAATCTTATTTTCTGTAGTTATTTTATTTTTCTAAAATAGTTTTATTTTCTGTAATATTTGACTTAATTATTATAACATATTTATCAGAAATTTGGATATAGTGCGCCTATAATTATTTGTGGGATTTTAAATGATCTCCAACTTCAAAATTATGAGTACCACTGAACTTTATATAAGATAACAGTATACAAATTATATAAAAAAAAAAAAAAAAACAATATACAAATTATACGATAGAATAATAATGTACAAACAAAACAAAATAAAACATAAAAATATAAAAAAAAAAAAATTTTTCCATACCAAATCAATCAAAATCAAAGATTCTTAGTAAATAAAAAAAAAAAAATATTTCATTGGCAAGGCCAAAATATATAATAGGCTAAATATAACAAGTAATATGAAAAAAAAAATTTTAAAAGTCAATTCCTACTTTTTTTCATTATATTGCAGAAAATCCTTTACAAATAAAGTTGAAATTTTCATCTTACATCTGGCGCCATCTATTAGTAGATACATGCAACTTAAATCTAAAAAAACTAAAAAGTAATTAATGAATGAATTAATATTTGAAAAAAACTGTATCCACATTCAGTGTCATCCACTACAAGTTCCAAAAAAAATGTATCTGAACTTGAGTGGATGAATAAAAAGTATTTTATGAACGATTGAAAATTTGAACAAGATATATATAGGGAGAGTGTGAACTAATAGTAGGAAATGAAAATGAGAATGCTTATAAAAGGGAACCATCAAAACGGTACTAGGCGCAAAAAGATGTCTGATGTCCTTTCGCCTGCATAATAATTTTTTAAAACAAAAAAGTGCTCATGTGCCCATGTCTCATCTTCAAGTGTTGTTGGAAATGTAAATGTTGAGAATGTTTTATCTAATTAAAAAAAAATAAATTTTCTGTTATTTTTATAATTATCAGATAAAAATAATAAATTCGATGAAAAAAAAAGAATTTCTATGTTTTATATTTTTTAAATTTTGTTAAATGTTTCAAGACAAAAAAATTCTTTTGATTTAATTATAAGAATTTTTTCTGAGATTGAAACTTTAGTGTGGTTCATAATTCCATTAACCTTATTAGCGTGCAGAAATTTGCATGGTTTTTAATTATATACCAACTATATCTTATAATACAAACAGTCAATATTAATGAAATAAATTTGCAATTCTCCCAAAAAACAAAACAAATTATACTGTATTATTTGATTGGTTATTAAAAAAACATATTATAGCGTACATTCATCGTAAGTTCCATGTCAATTTATTTCATTATGCTAATTATAAAAATACTGTAACTACATTTCACAACATTTTTAGAAATAACAATTATTCCTACTTTTTCATTATTTCAAATGAAGAAATAAAATTTATTGATTAAAATCCTTCTTTTGAAGACATAAATTAAGCCCACGTTTCTTTTAATAAAACATTTATTCACCATTTTTATGTGTTTCAATGCTTCTACACTATGAAGAGCATATGACAAATGGATAAGCAATAAGGTGATAAAATTGGTTTAAATGTTTCCTTCCTAATGTGGTATATGAGCAGAAGTGGGGTGTGCACGTTTTATCAAAAACATGCTTTTCATTCCCGTTTCGGATATTTTGTGATGGAAAACCGTTGATTTTCAATTGACATCAAATTAGAGAAGGCATAATGTCCTGTAAAATCTTTGAGGAGCAATCATTAAATTATTTTTCTGAGAAAATCCAGGCACAATTCATTGATAAATGATTCAAAAATTGATTAGAGGACACATCTTTTTATTATAAAATATACGTTTTTCTAATACAAAAAGATACTTTTTTATCATAAATTTCAGTGAAAAACTAATTTAGGTTCATATATGATGTGAGATTGAAAAGCAATTTGATATGGTTAGCAAATTTAATACAATTCAAGACCCAAATTTAATTGAATACAACACCATTAGGGGTAAAGGGGTTATTTCCTCTTCCTCATTATACAAAGTACGTACTGCAAGAGCACCCCTTGCGTCGTGCAGAAGAAATCATCAGTAGTCATCCAGACTCGCGCCAGAGAGGACGTACGGGAAACAGGCGCTGCCGTTAGTTACGAACTCTCATTCCGAGATCTAGAAGTGGAATCCTTCCCCTAATGTATAATTAGATGTTTAAAATGAGATACTGTTTAAATGTGATAGATACTATTTAAAAATGAGATAGTATATGTTGTGTATTAAGTGTTCGTGCTTGTGCTCTTGTAAAATGAAACTGTGTGCTGTTAAACGTGAATCTCAATTTGACCACATCCAAATCGAGCTGCACAAACAAACCGACCTTTATACTACAAAAATTTAATTAAATTACCAAGAGGCATACATTGGTTTTCAAAAAAATATTAAAAGTTACTTTTTGTTTTTAAAGTAGTGATGTAAGAGAATAACATTAAAATTACAAGACTTTTCGAAAGTTGAAAGTTAAATGTAAGGATTTTAAAAGAGATATTTGCTTAATGGGGTGCGTGGGTGTATGTGGGTGAAATTTTACATTATTGTAATCATATCAAAAGTAATACAATATTATTCTCTGATATTTTCCATTCTACTTCTTTAAATAGACAAACACGATTTTATGTTAAAGATATAAATACATATAATTGCAGCATTTTTTAAAATATACTTTTCCTTATGAATTAGAACATACTTGGAATAAATATAACTTATTAATTAAGTTATATTTTATCAGTTTTGTAATATTCTTTGTTTTATTTATAGTTGGAACTTCAATTAGATTGATTTTATGTGGCGATTATTCTTATCTACTGCAAAAATTCGAATGTAATAGATGTATTGCGAAATGAACGCCTTATTTCCCTTAGAAATCGATGTCCAAAGCTACGAAACCTGACTAATAACTCGGTTTAACATTTTTTAGTTTGTGATACATCGAATATATCTCCTGTTCCAGTTACACATGCTGATAAGGGAATGCTTAACTGTGCCGTATGCCAGGCGGATAACTGTTCCGTATTTGTGGGATAAAACGTGGAAAAGTCCCACCTAGATAGTTTACTCTAGTTGCAAAGACGCTTACAACAAGGGCCGTCCAGATTCCTTGTTTCCTTGACGTTTATGCCTTCCGCAGATTCGAATCTCTCCTGTACGCTAACCGCTGTGCCTTCGAGTCGAGCTCTAAACTTATTTTAGCATGTGGTTTTGTGAAAGCCACGGCTAAAATAAGTTTATTCTAATACAACATCTGATGAACATCATGAAATCATTTGGAATGGATAGGCAAACTACGCCACTTTCGACTTGCGGTCTCTCGCTTCGTTCAGACGGAAACATTCAAAGTGAGGACTACTCACTTATCTCCTTTCATTTATCTGTATGCTACGACCCTTAACAACCCACAACACTTAGTGGAAGGCATCGCCCAAAAAAACCATTTCAACCATATCAAAACCATTGCTTTAAAGGGATAATTTACTTTCTTAGAAATATTTATTTTTTTTTAAATAATATCTGTGGATGAGGCCTAGTATTTATTACTTCCACTATCCTACTATTTGTTCCAGTATTATCCTACCATTTGTTCCAGTATTATCCTACCATCTGTTCCAGGATTATCCTACCATCTATTCCAGTTTTATCCTATTATCTGTTCCAATATTATCCTACCATCCGTTCCAATGTTCCACTATCCTACCATCTGCTCCAATGTTATCCTGCCATCCGTTACAATGTTTCACTATCCCACCACCTGTTTCAATATTATTCTACCATCCGTTCCAGTATTCCACTATCCTACCATCCGTTCCAGTGTTCCACTATTCTACCATCCCTTCCAGTGTTCCACAATCCTACCATCTGTTCCAATATTATCCTACCATCCATTCCAGTGTTCCACTATCCTACTATCTATTCCAATATTATTCTACCATCCGTTCCGGTATTCCACTATCCTACCATCCGTTCCAGTGTTCCACTATCCTACCATCTGTTACAATATTATTCTACCATCCTTTCCAGTATTCCACTATCCTACCATTCGTTCCAGTGTTCCACTATTCTATCATCCCTTCCACTGTTCCACAATCCTACCATCTGTTCCAATATTATACTACCATCCATTCCAGTGTTCCACTATCCTACCATCTGTTCCAATATTATCCTACCATCTGTTCCAATATTATCCTACCATCTGTTCCAATATTATCCTGCCATCTGTTCCTATAATATCCTACCATCCGTTCCAGTATTCCACTACCCTACCATATGTTCCAGTATTATCCTAACATCTGTTCCAGTGTTCCGCTATCCTACCACTATTTCCATCTATAGTGCTGGAAATATAGTTGGCATGCAATACAAAACCTTTAAAGCATACAAACCTTAAGCCCTTGCGTGCTTTGACGCAATTTTTAACTACCGTATAAGTCACAATCCATTATTGAAAAACAAGAATAGAACATTCCACAAAAAAAA